TCTTCATATTTCTTTCATCCATCCTTTTCTCTTCACTGATACAGCTACAGTCCTGGTAGACACCTAGTATACACTTCATATACCTTTTGCCTGGATTATTGCAATGGAGGCAGCTGAGGACCCAGTAGATAGAGCACTGTGCCTGAAGTCAGGAAGACTCATCTAGCCTCAGATGCTAGCTGTGTGACCCTGAACAAGGCACTTCACCCTGTTTGCCTCAGTTTCTTCATCTGCAAAATGAACTGGAGAAGGAAATGGCAACCCACTCCACTGTCTTTGCCAAGAAAACCCCAAATGGGGTCACAGTCAAACACAACTGAAAAATGACTGAATGACAGTTGTCAGTATCCCTGCCTCAAATTTTTCCCCACTGTAGTCCTCTAATCAGCTGCCAAAGAGATTTTCCAAAAGTATATGTCTGACCATGTCATTTCCCCCACACACACACACACACACACACACACAGCTCAATAAACTCCAATGTTGCCTATTAACTCTGGGAACAAATATAAAATCTTCTACTTGGCATTTAAAGCCCTTCACAACCTGGCTCCTTCCTACCTTTCCAGTGTTATCACACTTTACCCCGCCCATATATTCTATGATCCAGCTATACTAGCCTATTTGCTTTCTCTTAGCCAACATGTTCCATCTCTCTCTCTCTCTCTCTCTCTCTCTCTCTCTCTCTCTCTCTCTCTCTCTCTCTCTTTTTTTAGGCAATTGGGGTTAAGTGACTTGCCCAGGGTCACACAGATAGTAAGGGTCAAGTGTTTGGTCTGAGGCCGGATTTAAACTCAGGTCCTCCTGACTTCAGGGCCAGCGCTCTATCCACTGGCCACCTAGCTGCCCTATAGTCCTTCCCCCGCCCCCCCCTTTTTTTTTTTTGGTAAAGTCATTGGAGTTAAGTGACTTGCCCTAAGTTACACAGCTAGTGAGTGTTATATGTCTGAGGCTAGATTTGAACTCAGGTCGTCCTGAGTCCAGGACCAATGCTCTATCTACTGCGCCACCTAGCTGCCCCTCCATCTCTTAATTCCATGCTTTTGCATTGGCTGTCTCACGTTCTTGGAAGGCTCTTCTCCCTCTTCAACTCTGTCTCCTAAGCCTGACTTCCTTGAAGTCTCAGCTCCAAGTCTGTCTTCTGCAGGAGGCCTTTCCCAGTCCTTGTAGTCGCTAGTGCTTTCCCTTCCAGATAATCTGCCATTTGCACTGGAGGGTGGAAGGATGGAGACCACAAAGGAGAAGTCTCTGCTATCTTTCTAGAGTCATAAATTTAGGATGTCACAGGACTCACTAGAAAAACAAAAAAGGATGACTATTACCTACTTCTGGGACCTCATGTGAGCACAAATGATACTAGTAGAAAGCGGTGCTAAAGATGGCAAGAGTTTGAAGAGCACAGGGACAACCACTGGTTTCTATCACTGCTGCCCCTCAAAAGCAAGAGATTCAGAAGAGAAAAGCAGATTTGGGAAGCGAATTGTCACTGATTAATAAGGTAGTGTCAATGTTCTTTATTACATGGGATAGATATTTGGGAGAAGGGAAGGGAAGAGATATAGGAGGGAAATGTAGTCTATGTGGAAAAAAAAGGAATATTGATAAGAAGTTATTTTGAAAAAGAAGTTAGTGTCTGAAAATGGGATTTCAATTTTTGTACCACCACGTAAAACACAGGATGGATAGATTCTTGTTAAGGGATGGAGTACATCTAACAAGGGCTATACCCAACCAATCAAAAGTGTTTATTTAATGCCTACTATGCTCCAGGCACTAGAATATAAAAGGAAGGAGAAAAGTTCTGATGTACATCTACCAAGCTGGATACGTAGGAAGTAGTTACAAATGTGGAACGAATAGTGGTTTAGATACCCAGAAGTTCACAATAGACATGCTCCCTAGACTTGGGGAAAGGAAATACTTGTCAAAAGTATTTACAATACATCAATGGACAAGTATTTCTTAAGTGTTTATGAGGTGTGGACACGTTAGGCACTCGGGATACAAATACAGAGAACAGAACAATCCCCATTCTCATAGAGCTTCATTTTAGTAGAGGAGACAAGTAGTGGAATAAGCATTTATTAAACACCTACTATGTGCCAGGCACTGTTAGGTGCTTTACAAATATGTAAGTACCTAGAAAATAAACAGAAGGAGAATAAATACAAAGAAGGTAGTTAGGGAGGGGAGACATTAGCAGCTGAGGGGATTAGGAAAGGCTTCATGCAGAAGAAGGTGCTTAAACTGCACCTTGAAGGAAGAGAATTCCGAGGAAAGACAGGTAGTATCCCAGTAAGCTAAAATGCTACAAGGGAAGTTAGACTAGGAGGATGGGAGGTACTCAAGAGTAAAATACTTAATACAGAAATGAAAATTTATCCAATGGAGGGGAGGGAATGGGATTTGTCTGAAGTAATTTATCTGTGCAATGTGGATGCACAGGAAGCTTACCAGGAAGATCAACTTTAAAGAAGAAATGTATTGATGATGAAAGCAAGGCCAGGTAAAGGAATGAATTTAGATTGTGGTACAGTCCTGTAGAAACAGTGTCAGGATGCTAGAGCTCAGAAGGAGCTGAGATTGGTAAGGGAGGCTAAGGATGATGACAACAACAACAGAAGGTGGGGTTTTCTCTTACCCCTAACTACAGTGAGAGAAAAAGGCGGATCAGAGAAGAGATGGAGTGGATGGGATGGTGATAACTGGCAACAGAGAGAGGACAGAACTGCTCTGTCCTCCTGAGAAGGAAAATGACTGACAGGAAGTTGATGCCCCCTCCCCCCAAAATAAGGAACAAGCGAGCAAGAGAACAGCTCGGGGAATTCCTGAAGTAACTTATTTCAAATGGAGTCAACCAGGCAAAGAGTGAAACTGACCCTCTAGGGGAGCTCCCTGGGATTGAATCGAGTCTGCGTAAGCCCAGGGTCTTGGGGGACGCTGAAACGGAGATAACAAAATCTTATCTCTGCTGCTTATAATCTGCTTAGAACCTATTTCAGTTCTCCTGAATTCTGCATCTCCTGGACCCTCGCTCAGATAATTGATGAATGCTTCTGGTCTGACCCTTTCTCAGTACTTTTCACCTTCTATGTTCCTTTCCCAGTGGAGCACGGGATTCCAAGTCAGAGGACCTGAATTCAAATCCCAGCTTCTCCTCCAACAACAATAATAGTTGGCAATTATATAGCACTTTAAGGTTGTCAAACAACTGTATGAGGTAGATGTTCTTATTACCCCCATTTTGTAAATGAGAAAACAGAGGCTGATTTCCTGAGGGCCACACAGCTAAAAGGTGTTCACCACAAGAATGGAACATTGTTCTTTTTGACTCCCAAAGTCCAGAAGTATATTTATTGCATCACCTAGCTACATGCTTACCAGCTGCATGACATTAGACAAATAATTTCACTCCTTTGGGCCTCAGTTTCATGTCTAAAGGGAAGAAGTTGGGCTAGAAGACCTCTAAAGACCCTCCCAGCTATAAGTCTATGATACAAACCCTCCCATGCCCTCCCAAGGATGCATTTCCTGGTGAGAGACTCTTGTTTGGGCTCGATGGATGCTACCAATCTGCTCCTTCCTTGATAATTATAATTTCTAGAGTACTTGGGAATTTACAGAGGCAATTGACCAATTGCCCTATAAACAATCATCACTACCACCATTTTAAAAACAAGGAAGCCAAAGCTCACAAGCATTAACTTGCCACATTAAGTCTCACTTAAGCTAAGTGTCAGAGCCAATACTGGTCTTCTGTCTCTTAAGAACAGTGGTCCTCCTCCTCTCTCTTCAGAACATCAGGATAACAGCAATGATCTCAGCAACACGGAACACATTGTCCCTTAGTAAACACAGAGTGATGCTAACAATGCCTTCTTCATCTCCATTATTTCCTCCCTTTATCCTTTTCCCCCAGGACTGATACACATTGTCAAATTAGTCTTTCCAAAGCCAGGATTCTTAATCATATACTTCCTATGGACCCCCAAGGGGTCCAGGCATAGATTTTAAAGAGTCTGTGAATTTTTAAAAAAACATTTTTATAACTATACTCCAATATTACTGGTTTCCTTTGTACTCTATGTACTTTATTTTGTGTATTTAACAATATGATTCTGAGAAGAGGTCTAAAGACTTCACCAGACCACCATAGGGACCCAGGACACAAAACAAGTTTAAGAATCCTTATTCTAAATAAACTCCGATTGTATAAGTTCCCTGCTCAAAAACCTTCAGTGTTTCTCTATTTAGCCATTTTCTCCAGCATAAAGTTCAAATCACTCAGCCTGACATTTGAGGCTCTCCAAGCTGGCTCACATCTACCTCTCCAACCTTATCCAATGTTTCTCCCTTACATACAATCTCTGCTCCAATCAGGATGAAATTTGTACAGTCCATCTCTCCACCCCCCCACCCCACCCCACCCCCACCACGCCCAACCCCCTCCAGAATGCATCGGGCTCATTCCTGCACTGTTCATGCAATGCCCATCACCTGGGATGGCTTTTTCTCTTCTCTACTGATCCACCTCCTGGGCCAGCCTTAGTCTCACCTCTTCCTTACTTGCCTGCTATAGCCCACCCCTTTCAGACTATTGTTTTGCAAGGGTCTTATCTGCCCCCAACATCTGGAGCTCCCCAAAGTCAGAACGTGGGCTTGCTCTTTTCCTTTGTCTCCCACAGACTGATAGCTCCTTAAGGAAAGGAGCTAAGTTACCTCTTCGGTCTCTCTCAGACTGTAAAGCTCCCTGAGGACAGTGCTCAGGACTGTTTTTCTGCCTTTCCTAGACTGGGAGCTCCATGAGAACAGGCTTAGGTCTGTTCACCCTCTGTTTCTTCCAGGCTTTTAGCTTTCACAAGCCAAGGACTTGGCATCCCCCCCATATTGAGCTAAGCACATAGGGCTTTGCCAGCAATATGGCAAACTCAACATACATTTAGTTAAGTGTTCTAACTGATTTTCCCTCCCCACCCACCCCAGTTCCTCAATGGCTCTACCTCTGCAAGGGTCATTCTTGACCAGGAATTCATCTAGCGCAATCCAGCCACCTCCAACACGGACCATGAGGCAGCTTCGTAGGATCCGTACCAGTCGAAGTTGCTGGGATTCCCCAAACTGAATGGAAGAAGAAGGGGTTAGAGATGATGCCACCCTGGGCCAAGGCAGAACAACCTAGAATGGGGTAGGGGGTGGGGGGTGGGGTGGAAGGTGACCGAGAAGGTTAATGAGAGGAAGGCAAAGGGGCAGAGGCAGAGAAGGCACCTGGGTGAGATAGGAAAGCCAGACACAGGGAAAGAAAGAATCAGGGGTGGTGGAATCAGAGAAGGCTGGGTATGTATGGATCGAGAAGTGAGATAGTCGTGATTATGTATGTTGGAAGTAGGGGGTTGGTTGTGTGTAGGGAGAACAGGAGCACTTACTCGGTAGCGGTTGGCACTGATCTGCTCCACCTGGAAGCGCCTGGCACATTGACACTGAGATACTTGTCGCCTTACCTGGACCAGAGAGAGGAATGACCTAGTGGCTGGACCCCCGGTTTTTATTCTTCCAAAAAGCAGACTCCAGCTTAATCCCTTCCTCCAGCCCCTCCCCAGAGTTCTTCCTCCCTTTTGGAGGTTCAAAGACGTAGAGTTGGAAGAAATCTCAGACGTCATTTAGAACAACCCCATTAGTTTACAGATGAGGAAATGGAGGTCAATCAGCTTGCTAAAGATCACACAGGTAGTGAGTATTAGAAGCAGAATTTGAAGCCAGGTTCTTATACTTCAGAATCAGTGCTCTTTCCATTGAATCCCTCTTGCTTCCAATTCCCTGCATCTACCCTTCTCTTCTTATGCCCTTCCACCTTTCAGAGTCCCCTCCCCTCTCTCTCCTCCATGCCCTTGGGTCCTAGTACTGAATCTCTGATCCCCAACCCATCCAGAACACATCCTCATCGGTCCCTCCAGCCCCATCACCTTAGCTCCCTTATTATCACATCGCCCCCAGGCCATGTTCTGCCAGTACCTCATCCTGGATGTGTTCTGCATCAGGACCCCGGCCTCGGGGGTCCCGGCTGGGGTGCAGTGCACTGACAAATTCACCATAGTCAATAACTCCATCTCCATTGGTGTCGAAGATACTGGCCACAGCACTCAGCTCAAGCAGACTGGTGGGGAAGCCTGGGATGGGCACGAGGGATAGAAAGAAGGGAGGTGAGGGATGTGCTCTCCCATGATAGACCTGGGGCAACTGTACCACGGCTCTGAATTTGATACCCCCAAGGCCCCAAGCTGGTGTTAGGAGAACAAAGTGACCATTCCATCTGAGAAATCACTTCAGAGGCTGGAAGAAAGCCAGGCGTAACCCGGCAGGCATCCTTAATTTCAACAAGCGGATCTCAGAGTTCAGAGACAGGAGAAGTGGTTCTTCAAAGCATAAAATTGTTCAGGAGGAGAGGGGTCAGCACAAGGACAGGAAAACCTCAAGAAGGAAATTCTAAAGACAGAATGATTCAGATTAGGAAGAAAAGGGGCAGCTGCCTGAAGAGATAGATGTGTTTACACAGAGGAGTGACCAAGCAATTTAGATTTTTAAAGGCATGTAGAAACAAAGTCAGGTAATGACAGATGAATAAAAAAGGGTGGCATAATCCTGATAGAGCAGCGTCGGTTGCCCTCGAGCTCATTATGAGTTAACGCTTGCACTGAATGCCAGCACTAAGTCATTTGAGGAGTGAAAGTTGGTCTTGGAGCCAGGAAATCTGGGTTCGAGTCTTGCTTCTGACACACATGACCCTGGGCAAGTCATTTAAATTCTCAATCTCCCCCCACCCCCCAAACAACTCTTTAAGACTGGAGGCTGAGGCTTCGGAGGCTGACCCGCAAGAGTGACCCACAAGTTCCCTTTGCCAATTGTAATCCTGGGTCTAGTCCAAACTGATGTTGGAGGCAAGAGAAAAATCAAAGAAGGGATGATACTGCGGCATGGGGGGTGTGGTAGAGCCCTGGGAGAATGGAACAGATGACAGAGAGAAAACAAAACACGGCATCTTTTTTTTTTCCTAATAAGGAGAATGATTTTGTTTTACCTTCTCCTTGTACAAAAATCTTAAGATCATTATATGCTCATGGGATTAATTATATAACCTATGATTAATTTTATAATCCACATGATCCTATGATTTTTGTACTAAGAAGGGTAGAACAAAAATGGTTAGCAGGAAACTGAAACCCGAGATAACTGAGGAGCTGCTAAGTGGGGCCCCTAACTGCCCTCAATGAGTTTAAAAGAACAGGCCCAGAGGAACCACACCCCATGGAACCGAAAGAAACCGTGGGTGTGACTGCCAAGCCCCCTTCAATCTTCTTTCACAGCTGAGGTAAATGGGAGAGGTGTGGCAGGACTGGAGACCGGCAAACATTAGTCCCAATTTTTCAAAAAATGCAAACCTGGTGAACTCAGCCGTGATTTCTGGGAATATTCTAGAATGCCTAATGGAATGGACGATATGAAGAATCACCTATGGGACCCCGGGCACTTAACCCCGATTGCCTCCAAAATAAAATTTAAAAAAAGAACCCCTTCTGGAAACATCCATCCTGATGAGCCAGCCTGGGTTTAAGAAACACGTGATGCTGGACTGACCTCATTCCTTTGTTGACAGGCAGGTCAACATAGGTAGTTAGGTGGTATGGTAGATAAGATTACTGGCTGTGGAGTGAGGAACAGCTGATTTCAAATTCAGCCTCAGACAGTTACTAGTAGTGTGACTCTGGACAAGTCACTTAACTCCTGTCTGCCTCAGTTTCCTCATCTGTACAGTGGGGATATTAATAGCACCTACCTCCCAAGTTATAGAGATAAAATGACATATGTGTAAAGCACTCTGTAAACCTTAAATCACTATAAAAAGGTTAATTATTATTATTTTTATCTGGCAAAGTGTCCCATCACAGCCTTATGGACAAGATGAAGACACGTGGGGCAGATGAACTGAGTCTGTTGTTGTTCAGTCAAGTCTGACTCTTTGTGACCCCACTGGAGTTTTCTTGGCAGAGATACTGGAGTGATTTGCCATTTCTTTCTCTAGTGCATTTTACAGATGAGGAACTGAGGCAAACAGGGTCGAGTGACTTGCCCAGGGTCACATAGCTAGGAAGTGTCTGAGGTCACATTTGAACTCAGGTCATCCTGACTTCAAGCCACCAGCCACCTGGAAGCATACTTAGGAGGATTCAGAACTGTTTGAAATGGTCGGACCCAAAGAGTAATGATTAATGGAAAAGGGGGAGTGGAAAGAAGTGCCCCAGTAATCTGTCCTTGGCCCTGGTCTGTTCAACTTTTTTTTCCAACGAACTATCCTAGAAGCTGCAAATGTCAATAGAAAGTGCAACTTAGAAGGATGACTAACACAGGGGATGACAAGCTTAGATTCAAAGAGAGCTTGACAGGCCCTAGTCAAGTCTGATAAGATGAAGTTTGCTAGGGATAAATGTAAAGCTCTACACCTAAGGCTAAAAAACCCCCCAAAACCACCAGCTAATTTCACAAATCCAAGGTAGGAGAGACAGGTGTAGATAAAAGCTCTTGTTTTAAAAAAACAGTGTTCATAAAATAATAATACCTAGAGGTTTTAGTGGACTGAAAACTGCCTAAGAGTGAATAGAGTAACATAGAAACTAAAAAGCCAATGTAATCTTAAATTGCATTGAGAGGTACTGGAAGCAGGGTGGTATAGTGGATAGAAACTTAAAAGTCAAGAAGATCTGAATTCTAATCCTGCTTCAGAGATTCATTCAAAACGTGACCCCAGGCAAGGCAGCTCTTCCAGACTCAGTTTCCTTCTTCTGTAACATGAGAATGATAATAGTGCCTACTTCAAAGGGTTGTTGTGAGGGTCAAATAAGACGAATGCTTGCTAAACTTAAGGCATTATTTAATAGCTAATTAATAATGGTGATATAGTAATAATAAATAATATAATACCATTATTATTATTATTATTATTATTGTTAGTGAACATTGGACTGGTGAGACCACCTCTAAACTTCTGTGTTCAGTTCTGTTCACCACATTTCAGGAAGGATGTTGCTAAGTTGAAAAATACTCATAGGATGATGAAGGAACCGGGGATGCTTAGTTTGGAGAAGAGAAGACTTAAGGGAGACACAATAATTGTCTCCAGTATTTGAAGGGCTATCCCCTAGAAGAGAAACTATTCTTCTTGGCCCAGGCAGGCAAAACCAATATCAATTGTGGAACTTCAAGAGAGACTAATTTAGTCTTGTTCTAAGGGGAAAAAATGTCTCCAATGAAAACCATCCCAAAGTGGATTGAGTGACTGTCTTAGGAGTTAGTAGCCATTCCCATTAATGGTTATTCCCACCACTGGAGGTCTTCAAGCAGAGGCCAGGTGACCCTTCATGGGGAATGTTGTGGCTAGGATTCCTGTTTAGGTAGGGAGTGGTTTGGGTGATCTCAGAGGTCCCTCCTTACTCTGTGACTCTGTGGTTCCAGAATTTGGTAATGGGCTGTGATACTACCAGGCAATGGACATGGAAACAGGGAAAACCAGGCATCTTGAGGAACCCAGAACATGAAGGCCAGGAAAGTCTGAGTCAGAGGGAGGAGGTGGCTTGGGGCCATGTGGGCTGGAGAAGCCTGTATTGTATGGCAGTCAAAAGAAAAGACTCACCCTTTTTCTCGTAGTAGATGGGAATTTTCAGAATTATTTTTGTAGGTTAAAGTCTCTTTTCTATGGTACAATCATAAGAGCCTGATTCTGGAAGAGTCTCAGAGGACACAGTGAGTTGAAGGATGACTCCTCCAGGAAGAGCAAAGAAAGTGGGTAGAGCTGAATGCTGGTTGAAGTCACTGGGCTCAAAGTCAGCCCATCATCTCAGCTCTGTTGAAGATTTGAGAACGCGAGTTATCTCCCAATTGGGAAAACAGGTGAAATAGGGGAAGACAAACAGATGGTTTGTGAACTTTCAGGAGGCAGAAAAGGGAGCATGACCCTGGTAGTTACTGAGACTTTATGGTTCCACGTGAGAACAGATCCCAAAGTGATCCTAAAACACTGATTAGAGTTAGAAGACCTAAGTTCAAATCCTGCCTTAGGTGTTTGCTAGCTGTGTGACTCTAGGCAAGTCACTTAACCTGTTTGCCTCAGTTTCCTCATCTGTGAAATGAAGGTTGGATTAGTCGGTCTCTGAGATGTTCCTGTTCTAAACCTATGATGGAGAGACCTAGAATTTGTGATCCTAAAGGGCTAGAGATGTCAAACAAGGGGAGCAGCAATCTTAGCAGGTGGCTGGGATGAGATGTGAACCCCAGGGACAAGGAATGAAGGAAAGCACGGATAGCATCAATACACAGTGAGTGGCTTAAGCCCAGGGTATAGATGGGAAAGGAATGCACTGCAGTAGAGACAAACCCTTCTCCTTTGAGTTCAGCCAGGAGACGGGGAGTCAGGAGTCAATAGAGTGAAGGTAGACGCTGCAGGGCCCAAGGATCTGAATTTGTTACCTGCCTTGCCAGGGAAGAAAAAACAGAGACCAGAGCCTCTGAGTTCAGTTCAGGGCTGCTTGCCCACTGCTGCCTTGCCCCTGCCTGGGAAGAAACCAGGTGCCTGTAGGCCAGCAGTGAAAAGGGGAAGAGTAAATGAGTAAACGGATGGCTAGATGGCGATGGGAGACTTCTTTTCTCTTAGCTAGCCTCTGGGGAATGGCAGCAGGAGTCTGGGGGCTGCCTCTCTTGGGCCTTTTTCCACTGCTTGGCCTTGGGAAGGCTCTGCTCAGCCATACTCTGGTCCTGGAACCTGTTGGGGCTGCTGAGAAAAGCAGCCTCTAGCCAAGAGCCTCGGCGGCGCCCAAACCCTTCCTGAGTCTTGGCTGTCAGAGTAAGTTTCCCTGAGCCAGGACCTGCCAAGGTCACAGGATGGTGAATGTAGCCTGACTGAGCCCTGCTCAGTCAGACTGGGCCCTTGGAGCCCTTCCATGAGGACTGGAGATAATAAGAACCAGTGCCCTTGGACTGGAACATTTCTGTCATTCCTTGAGACTGTAAGGTGACACCTTTAACTGATGGGGATGTTCTTTTTGTTCTGCTGCTGTGGTACAATGTAATTAATGTAAGGCATCCACCATCCTTGGGAAGGGATAGGAGGAAGCTTGGGAGCCTGGAATCCCAGCACCTCAGAACATCAGAGCTGGGAGAGACCAGCAGGGTTACCAAAAGGAGCTTCTCGGAAGAGATCAGGGAGTTTCAGGGAACTCTGGAGAGTCTGGATGGAGAGAAATGGCTTCCCCTGGAGACAGAGGAGGGAGAGGAGGAACTAGATAAGTTTGAGGAAGAAGTGGCAGCCCCTGATGGAGCAAAGGGATTGTAGAGGAGGAGGCAGCTCTGGGCCCGGCGGTGGTGGAGACAAGAACTCTGCTTCTTCTGGTTATCAAGGAGGCTGAAGGCAGCAGTGGTACTGACAATAGTGGGAGACTCACAGCGCATACCACCTTTGAGCAGGACCCTAGTGAGTGAAGTGGAGCTTTGGAGACTGTTCTGGGGTTATAGCAGCAAGAAGAAAGGGTGATGGGCGTGGACTGGGATTTACCCCCCGGAACTCTTGTCCTGCATGGAGCAGCACCATGGCGGGACTTACCCTGAGGGTGCCTTAAGTGGCTATGGTTCTCAGTCAGCCTGTGCTGTCCACTACCTTAGAGCATTGCTGACTATCCCATTGAGCCAGAGTCACATCTTGTCCCAAGATCCTTAGCCAGACCAAAAGGTGAGGCCCTGTGCCTTTACATTTATCTCTTTGGGCCACCTGGTCACATACACCTTGTCTCACCTTGGTGATTTCAGGTCACTGCGGCCAGATGAACTATGTGTTAGGGTACCAATATAAATGGCAAACATGATTACCCTGTCAATGGATCTTTGGAAGATCACAGAAATGGAAGGAGTGCCACAGGACTGGAGGAAGACAAATATCTCCAAAAAAAGGAAGAAAATGGAATCTGAAAAGTAAAGGCCTGAATGCTTAACTTTGATTTGTGGCAAAATTCTGGAATGTGTCATTGAAGGGGTGGTTAATGGTGATTACAGAGAGCCAGCATGACTTCATCAAGAATAAGTCATGCCGGACTAACCTTATTTGCTTTTTTGACAGGGTTATTAGACCTTAAGATCAGCGGAATGCTATAAATCTATCTAGATTTTTGCAAGGCATTTGACGAAAGTCTCTCATGTGACTTTTGTGGAAGAAATAGAGATAGACTAGATATTACAATTAGATGGATTCGGGACTGGTAGAATGACCACTGCAAAGAGAAGTCATGAATACTTTGATGTCAGTGGGGAAGGAGTTCTCTTATAATGTCCCAGGGACCCGTGCTTGGCTCTGTAATAGCTGACATTCTAATCAATGACTCTAATAGAGGTATAAATGGCATGCATGTCCTAATAGCTCAAAGCTAAGAGGTTTTCCTAATATACTGGATAACAGAATCAGAATTCAATGTGACACTATATTTTGGGCCAAATCTTGTAAGCTAAAACATAATAAAGATAAATGTAAAGTCTTACACTTGGGTTCTAAAAATCAGCTTCACAGATGAGAAAGGACATGGCTAGACAACAGTTTGAAATAGATCTGGGGATTTTAGTGGATTGTAAACTCAATATGAGTCAACAGTAGTCAAAAAAAGCTGGCAAAAAAGCTAAAGTGTTCTTAGGCAGCATCAAGAGAGGTAGAGCATCCAGGACTAGAGAGGTGACAGTCCTGCTGTATTCTGGTGAGGCCACATCTAGGGTGCTGTATTTGGTTCTGGATCCATTCATAGGATTAGAGATCTAGGGCTGGAAGGGCCCTCAGAGGTCATATAGTCCAATCCCATCATTGCATAGATGAGGAAACAGTTCCAAAGAAGTTAAGTGCCAAGTCCAAAGTCACCTAATTAGTAAGTGGCACAGGAAGAATGTTGAAAAACTGGAAAGTATTTAGAGGACAGTTAGAATGGTAAAGGCCACTCTGGCCAGGAGATCAGTTATAGAAACTAGGGATGTTTGGCCTGTTGGAGAGAAGCTGTAGGGCAGGGAGTAGAGCAGGATGCAAAGGTGGAGAGATTAGACTAGCTCAGCTTGGCCCCAGAGGGCCAAGAACTTGGCAGTAATGGGTGGGGTAATGGGAGCCGAAAAAGTCCATTTAGGCCTGATGTCAGGAATAGCTTCTTAAAAATTAGAGCTATCTTGCTAAAGTGGGATAAGCTGCCTTTGAAAATACTGGGCTCTCTCCTCATTTGAAATCTTCAATCAGAGGCTGAATGGTCACTTGGTGGTCACTTCTATTGTAGAGGGAATTCTTAGTCAAGTATGTAACCTCCAACTCTGATATGCTATGGCATGGGGCTGGGCCTCATGGTTGGGCAGGGTCAGGGGGTGGGGACAGGTTCCAGTAAAGGCTTGCTGATGACTTATTAAGGCAAGTAAGAAGATGTGGCAAAGTTATCTGGACTATTTAGGCCTGGTCCATCTCTCCCCCACCCCCTCCTATCATCCTCTTTCTGCCTTGACCATGTCCATCCCCGTCCATCCCACTCCCTGAAAGTCCTGCTCACTGGAGGCAAGGACGCTGTCGATGAACTCCTGGTGGGTGATTCGTCCATCCTGGTCACGGTCAATGGCACGGAACACATCCAGGAGCCGGGACTTTCTATGGCTGATCCACTGTAAGTATCGTTTCCGCCATCCGCCAAAATCAAAGTGTGCAAAGGCTGCTTGCTAAGGAAAGGGAGGGAGCCATCAGTGTCCAACCCTCTAAACAGTGGCTGGGAAAATGGGATAGTTGGCTTGGTGACCTTCTCCATGCTGTCCTCCAACTCTAGGCCAACCCCACAATATCTGGACCCAAGCCCCTGAGTTGCCAAAACATGAATATATCTATAGGTGCTACACCAATGCTCTCAAATTCCATGTTCCAGCAGGTAATGCTATGTCTAGGGCTCAGGGCCCTCTGTTGTGGTCATGTGTAACCTCAACATTTCCCAGGGGATTAATGGCCCTGCACCTTGAAACTAAGACCTCCAACCATTCCCATGCACCCTTTCCTGTCTCCTTCACATACCTGCTCTGTCCTCAACTGCCTCCCTCCTCCCTGCTATCCACACCATCTGTCTTGGTTCCCATTTCTCCAGTTCAGCCTTTCCCACCTCCATTCTGGAAGCCTCTGACTGCTTCTCAGCCAAGCTTTGCCAACAAGGAGTCTCTGAGGAACTCTGAGAAAACCCTTGGCTCTCAGTGCTGGTCATGTATTCGCTATGCCATCTTGTGGCCACATAGGATGGCAAGGGGGGAAATCTGGGAGCCTGAGACCCAAGAAGGCACTAGAATCAAAGAGGCTCTAGAGTTCAAGGCGACCTTAGAAGAATGGAGGAAATCCAGGAAGAATCTAAAGGTGGTGTACAGTTGGAGAGCTGGGGCAGAGGTAAGAAAGCCCATCTCTAGAAGGACAGGGGAAGTGGGTGAAAAGGGGGTGCCAAAGAGGGAGGGAAGAATAAGAAGGAGCATGTTCAGCCCAACCTACTGGACAGAGGAACAGGCAGCTCCTTACAGAAGTGGCCAATAGGGAGACCAAATAAGATGACCATGTGATAGCCAAGCTTTTAGTGAGCCCACAGATGGCTTAGCCAGATGGCCCCAGGGGACCCAAGGCTGGTAATAAGGTATTAGCCAGTGGTCTAGAGGGGTATACGGACAATAGTGAGCAAGATGGTTTAGGGAGCATGGAAGGTCCCAGAAGTTTGGCCAGATCAGTGAATAGTGATGAATAGGATAGTAATGGAGGCCACAGGGATTGAGGTTGGGGGTGAACTTGGCCAGGATGAAAAGTGGCTGGAAATGAGATAAATAGGTACCAGAGACTAGGGAGAAGTTCAATGAGGTAGATGAATGATGATGAGTTGGACAATAGTAGGGGCCAAAGGGACTGGGGAAAAGTTGGGTTTTTTTCCCCCTAAGATGCTGATGATTGGTAGTGAGCTAAAAAGACCCCATAGCCAGGGAGCCGGGGGAGGTTTGACCAGGATAATGAGCAGGGATAAGCCAGACAGAACTGGGCCTCAGTATGCCATGAGGATGTTCAGCCAGGACAATAAGTAGCAGTGAGACAGATGGTACTATGGTCCAAGAGCCTAGGAGAGGTTTTGGCTAGGAGTGAGGCCCATTGATGTTCTGAAAAGAGAATGAGAGACATTTCCCCAAAGTTTCATTCTCAGAGGAAGGAAGCATCAGGCCCTACATCAGCTTGAAGCCCAGCAGGCTAGAAATCAGCACGGTTGGGGCTTAAGCTCCCAGAGCCCCTACCAATAGGTGGAGAGCTGCTGCTGGGGGCAAAGAGCACAGGCGATGTGTCTCACAGTGTCTCTCCATAAGGAGAAGGGTATCCTTGGGAGAACTTTGAGGCAACCTGTGGTTGCATGACTTGGATTTTCGAGCCAAGTTTTGTCTATGCTGTCTGTCTTTCCTTATTTTCCTTGGATGGAAGGGGGATGGAGGGTGGAGAGCTGTCTAGCACCCACATCCCATGATTTCACCAGGAGATTTCACAACTAGCTGAGAGTGAGCCCGGGATTAAAGGTTGGGCAAATGAAAATAATCCAGAGTACTCCCGTTGGCCAATCTTGAAATAGGGCCTGGAAGCTGAAGACTTTATTGTCTCCCAGGCCCAGGAAGGAGAGACAAGCTCCTCGATGAGCAAGAACCATGATGACCTATCTGAGCCTGGAGGACTCCAGACTGGGACCATCACTTGGAAAGTTCCAGCACTGCCTAGTCTGAGACTGGAGAGTTTTATTTTTTTAATCTTCATGTCCCTCCCATGACCCTCCCATGATGTATGATTTCTGAATCCCAGTGTTCTCCTTTCCACTGTAGAGAAACCCTAGGAAAATACACTTGTGACCTAGATCATGCAGATGTAGACAGGAAAGGGAAAAGAGATTGGATGTTAGTGGCACCGAGCCCCAAACAGAGTGGTGGGGTCAGTGGCAGGAGGATGGGGAAGGGAATTAGGGATGGCCTGAGTCCGAGGAGCCAGGAATCTCAGGGACCAAAGTAGTTCAGTGCTTTGAACTAGGGCTTAGTCATTAGGAAAGGCTTAGAAAGTCATGAAAGGGGAAGCCCTAGGGCCAAAGAACTGGAATCTCTTGGAAGCAGTCTCAGACCCGCACAATATGAGGCTGGAACTTTTTCCTCTGAGAAGATAGGTAGTAAGTTCCTAGTCACTAGAGGTCTTTAAACAGAACTTAGACAACTATTTCTTGGAGATGCCAAGGAGGAGATTCCCAGTAAGGGACGTATTGAACTAGAAACTCTCTGACGTCCCTTCTAACTCTAAGATTCTGGGCTTCTATGATTCTCAGCCCCCAAGACAGAGTTGGGGGTAGAGGGTGGGGATGATGTTCTGCCTCTGAGAGGGCTGATCTAGGGGAGGGGAGTTAGCTAGGAGTCAGAGCAGATAAAGAGATGAACTTGGAGTCAAGAAGATCTGAGTTCATGATGCAAAGTGAAATGGAAAACACTGTACACAGGAACAGAGACATTGGGTGATGATCTACTAGAAACAATTTAGCTCTTCTCAACAACACGATAATCCAAGACAAGTACAAAGGACTCATGATGGAAAATGCTATCTATACCCAGGTACAGAACTGATGGACTCTGAATGCAGATTGAAGGATACTTTTTTCACTCACTTTATTTTTTTCTTGTTTTTTTTTTCCTTTTGGCCTGTTTCTTCTTTCATAATTGTGACTAATACAGAAATATGTTTTACATGATTGCACATATATAACCTGTATTAAATTGCTTACCATTTTAGGAAGAAGGAAGGGAAGGAGAAAAATTTAGAATTCAAAATCTTGCAAAAATGAATGCTAAAAATTGTCTTTGCATATAATTGGGGGGAAATACTATTTTTAAAAAGGAAAGAAAACAAAACAAAAAAGAACTGAGTTCAGATCCTGTCTTAGATAGTTAACTAGCTGTATGACCTTGGGTAAGTCACTTAGCTTTCCTCAGCTTCACTTACATCATCTGTAAAATGGAGACAATAATAGCACAAAAAAAACCTCACAGGGTTTTTGTGTGTGTATGAAATGTGATAATATATGTAAAGTACTTTGCAAACCATAGAGCCTTATATAAGTGGTAGTTATTATTGTTGCTTCTGTTATTGTTATTCCAAATCTAAACAAGAGCTACCCCCTCCAAGAATTGGAGCAGAGCTGTAGAGAAAACAGAATGGAGTAAGGTTGGGAGGGACACCAGCTAGGAGCCAAAGCTACAGGACCAGCTCCTCAGACTGACCCAGCCACACAAGAGGTCCCTTGCGGCCTGAGGTGAAGCTTCCGGTGGGATCTGGCTGTAGGCAAAGACACTCAGAGAGGAAGGACCCTGAGCAAGAAAAGAGAACAGGAAGGAGGAAGTATTGATCATTCCTTAAACCCAGGGCCTGTTGATCACTTCTGCTATGCCAATGAGGTGAAAGCTAGAGATGGGATTCAAACAGAGAGAAGATCAAATAGATGTTGTTCTTTGAAATCTGGGAGTCTGCATCAGGCAAGTGTCAGATGGGAAGTTTCCATGGCTGAAGGGAAGCTTGGTTCTTGATAGAGGCTAGAACAAGAGGTGGAGGAAGGGGAAAACCGGGTTCGACTCCCATGCACTAGCTGGTGAACATATGAGAGAGAGTGAGAGAGAGACAGACAGACAAACAGAGACAGACAGAGAGACAGTGATGGGCTAGGGTAGGACATCGAAAGCCTGGAGTCATAGGGTCTCCATAGGGATAAAAGAGATTGCCCCATGCTGGAGTTAGTGCAGAACAGGCTGAAGCCTGGGAAAAGAATTCCTGGGGCCCAGGAGTACAAACAGAGAGTACATGCCACCAAGGCCCTGGCTTAGGGCTGACACCCAGAGAAGAGCCAGGGAAACAGGTTCAGGGAGCAGTGGACTGGCAGCAGAGCTCATCCCAGTGGCCCTGAGGCTAAGGGGATGGAAGGTAGACTCTGTCTATGGGTGGGGAAGTACGTGAGTCTGCTGTTCCATATACTGTGTGTAAACCTGGGAGCGGCTGTTGTGTGAGCATTTCCCAGCTATAAGGCTGGGTGTTCTGGCAAATTCACATCTCTCCTGGCATCAGTGGAGCCGGACTAATTGGTGGGAGGGCACATTAGATCCTGAAGTCAGAGGGAAGAGCTGGGAGAAGCTCTGACCTCGAAAGGGAAAAAGGAAAGAGAGCGAATAAAGGTGCTGCATGGTGAGGTCAGGTCAGAGGCCAGCAAAGGAAGGTCTCCTCAGCCCCAGAGGCTGAGAAGGGCAACCCAGCCAGAACAGGACCAGGTCAGGAGAAGACTTTTAGGCCCCAGGACCAGATGATTCTTGAACTAAGTGTGTTGTGTGCATACACTTTGCCAGCTACTAAAGAAAGACCTCTACTATCTACTACAGACCTTTCAGAAGCCCATTACGCTCTAGAAATATGCCCAAGGAAAGAAAAAAGGCGTCTAGGCCAGGATGGGCATGGACTTGATGGCAGCGAGGGAAAGTCTAGAAGAGAACAGATCCCACCCAATAGCTGCTACGGAGACAAGACTGAATGGTAAAAAAAAAGGAGATGAACCCAAGTCCTGGATAGAACTGTCCCATGGTCTCAGGCAATCTGGCCTGTTATCTTCTCCCATCCCCTACCTCGCCCCTCCACACATACATTCTGAGGCCTCCCCAGACTCTCTTCTCACCTCCTCCAGGCGCTGGGTAGCAGCCTGTAGCCGGTACTGTCGGTCCAGGGCCCTGAGCCATAGCTGCTGCCAGCGTTGAAGAAGCCGGGCTCCCAAGGGGCTCTGAGGCTGCAGCTCCAGGAGGGGCACCAGGGGGCCCGGTGGGGCCTTCCCTGTACCTCTCCTCCCTGGGGAGAGGGTGGAGGGGAGATGGGGGGAGAGGAGGTGTTACCATACTAGGGACTAGAGAAGCCCCTTTTGCTCACATGTGGTGGGGGTAAAAGGCATAAGAAGCCTAGAGGAGGTTCCCTGGGGAGATGCTCCCTACCCAACCTGTGGGCTCTGTTTATGGGGGCCCCAAGTTGGAGAGGGACTTAGTTGTAGGCAAAGACACTTCAAAGACGAGTGGTAGGTTTCAGGGTAGAAGGGTGTTGGTGCCACCAATGGATGACAGGTCACTCAGAAAGTCAGAAGGGGGGGTGCAGTTCTTACTTGATGGGGGCTGTGGAGGTGCTGGGGGTGATGGCTCCAGCCTCCTTTTGCAACTTCTCATGGCTGCCTCCACCTCTTGCTGCTTTCTGCTCAGTTCTTCAGTGAATTCCTGTGCACACATAGGAGGGGGCCCAGCAGAAGTCACAAGTCATCCTCTTCTAGACAGGAGTGTTCCAGGTGGGGAGGAGAGGGCCATGGGGATTGGAGAAGCCTCAGTCTCTGGGACACATCCCACAGAAGCCCATTGGGAAAAGGGGAGGGTATTCCAGGGCCCAGAGAGAGCTCCCAGACAGGTCTGGGGCAGGACTCTCACCGTGTGCTGAGCTGATAGATCTGCCAGCATCTGGATGTCCTCAGGCAGGGGCTCCTGGTCTCGGAGGCTCAATGCCTCCTCAGCTGAGGTGATCCAGTCCAGCAGGCGAGCCAGCTCCTCCCGCTCAGCCGCCATGGTGGCAAGCTGGTCAGCCACCCGCTGGCCCTGTTGCTGTGCCCAGCCCAGCACCTGCACTCAGGGGCAATGGGAGGGAGCAGGGTCAAAAAAGAGAGGCTGAGGGACTGACTATGGGCAGAAGCATCAGTTAAGGCCTGAAGAGGGCTAAGCCAGGGGCTGGCAAGGGTCAGGAGGTATTGGCCCGAGAGTCAACTTGGGGAGCAAGGGTGTCAGCTTGGGCCTCTCCAAGGTAGGGGGAGCTCTCCATATGAGGATCCTCTCTAAGGGAATCCCTACGGCAGAGTTTCCTAGCTTGGGACCCCATGGACTTATTTTTTAAAAAAATATTTTGATAATTGCATTTTAATACGTGGTTTTCTTTGTAATCCTATGTATTTTACTTTATGTGCTTAAGACCATGATCCCGAGAAGGGGTCCATAGACTTCTCCAGACTGACTGCTAAAGGGTCTGCATTTCAAACAAGGTGAAGAAGCCCTGCCCTGGCTTTTCCCTCATAAGGTGAGAAGGGGAGAGGCCTGTAACAAGAGGACCAGCTTTGTGTACTCAGTGGCCTGTGACACACTGTTGACTCATTGATATTGAGCTGCCTGTCCCCCAAGACTACCAGGTGTCTTTTTCACACAAACTGTAGTCTAGCTCCGCCTCCATCATTCTACACTTGCAACTGGGAAAGGAAAATGCAGATTGTGGCAGACATGGAAATCCTTGTATTTCCTCAATTTTTTCCATTTGTGATAGAGATGTTAGATAGGGTTACACAGTCACAGGCTCTGAGTTGGAAAGGACCTCAGAGGGCTTCTACTTCAACCACTACCTGACCAAGGGGTCAGGTGAGGGACTATGGGGTCTGCAATTAAGTTGAGGCATTTGGAAGATGAAGTTGAGGGGTTCAGGGTAAGGAAATAAGTGGAGAGGGTTTATGATATAGGACTGAGGTATTCAGGGTTGAAGGGTAGACTTAACTCCATTACTATCTGTAGGCTATATATCTCTTGCATGTCCCATCAGCATGGGACAAATGCAACATAATCAAAACGGAGGAGAGCTGTGAGATTTTTAGGGTTCTGTGCTGCACGGCATTTGAGTTCTGTGGATTGAAAGATTAGGGAGGGGTTGGCAAAGGTTCAGGCTATGGGAACACTCACTTCATGGAAGCGGCTGGTGATGTTGCTGAGGCAGGAGCGGACTGGGATGACGGCATCGGGGTGGCAGCTACTCAGAATCTCCTCCCCCAGGGACGTGATGCAGTCCAGCTCCAGCTGCTGGCACTGCAGACTTTGCAACAGCTTCCTGTAAGCCCATGCCAGGCCAGCCCATGGCCCATCAGGTTGGACTTGAAGCCTTTCTTGCCCAGGTGTTAGGGATGGGAATGGTGGAGAATGAGTGGAGAAATGGCTCGAGGACGGAATTAAGGGATGATTTGAAGATGGAGCAGAGGATGCAGTTGGGCCTGGAGATGGGGTTTTGGAATGGGGTTGAGGATAGGGATAGGCATTTGGAGTGGGGGAGGGGTTAGGCTGGAGATGGAGGGGAGTTGAGGAAAATAAAGTTGGTGACAAGGATGGGCATATGAGTGGGGATGGGGGTAGGGGTGGACAGGGGTGGAATTGGGGAAATGAGGATGGAACGGGGTTGAGGATAAGAGTTGAAACTGGGGTCTGACCTGGAGCTGGTTCTGATAGTCCTCAGCAGCTCCCTCTTCCTCTGGGAAAGGGCCCAGTTTGAGAGTTTTCTCAGCCTCAGATAGATGTTCCAGGAAACCTTGAATCAGCCTGTGGAACTCCTCAGCCTAAGAATCAGGGGTGGGCAAGAGGGGGAGAGGTGAGGAGCACTCAAGCACCCAGGTTCCGCAGCCCTCAACCCCTCTCTGTTTCCAGCTCCCTGATCATACCAACCCAGCGCTATTCACATTCCCACACCTACCCCCCAACCCAGGGTGACTCTGGGGGTCCTGGAGAAGAAGCAGGAGCTGGGCCCATGTCCCCTTCCCAGCCCCTTCTCTGCATAGGCTCTGCCCCCACCTGGTGCAAGGCTTCCTCAAGCCTCGCCTGACGGGCCAGGGAGAGGTGACACACGAGCTCCCATCGCTGTCCCAGCTCTTCCATCTGTCGATGTAGCCACTGGGAGTCAGCACTGCTGCTGGCCTGGGTCAGCTCCCGGATGGAGCGCCTAAGGAGGCGGACACAGCCCGCTCTTCGGCCCAGCTCCTTCTGGAACACCTAGGAGGGGGTGGGGGAGGGGGATCAAAGGTCTGTTGTGTTTGGGGAACCTTGGGGTGACCCTAGAAACTAGCTGGGCTAAATGATGCTAATTTGGAAGGTGGCTAGAGACATGGTGCTGCCTCAGTCATGGCTGAGAGGTTAGAAGTACGGCCAGCGATCGCCTAGGAATGAAGGCCAAGAGCCCTGAAGCCCCCACCAGCAGTCAGGAAGCCATCTGATTGGCTGAGCTTAAAGAGTGAACCAATGAGCGCAGTGCGGAATGTCTAGGTGTGCCAATCCCAAACTGACACTGATGGAGTTGGGAGTTTGGGTGAAGCGCTTACTCCATTCTTTTCTAGACCCAAGAAGCAGCTGATGGTCAACGTGTGGGGTTCTTGGCCCAGAGAAAATCACCTTTGAGCTGGGGAACCGTGGTTATCCAGAATAGGAAATTTAAGGGCCTGCAGATTCTGGGAACGGGTAATTTTCTTTTACCCATTAGATAACGATCCCCTGGGATAGTCTCTCTGAATCTGCCTATTATCTTCCTCCTTGAATAACCCTTCTTGTAGTCTGGCTGGTGTGCAGACATAGGGAGGAGGGAAAGAGGGAATCAGACCCTGGCCTTAATCCAACGTTTTTTACATTATGTTGTTGTTCTTCAGTTGTGTCCAATTCTTAGCGACCCCATTCGGGATTTTCTTGGCACAGACTCGGGAGTGGTTTGCCATTTCCTTCTCCAGCTCATTTACAGACGAGGAAGCTGAGGCAAACAGAGTTAAGTGACTAGCTCAGGATCACACAGCTAGTAAGTGTCTGAGGCCAGATTTCAGCTCACAAAGATGAGTGTTCCTTACTCCAGGCCCAGCACTCTGTTTGATGTACTACCTAGCTGCCCCTTTTTTTTTTTTTTTTGCTTTTTGGTGAGGCAATTGGGGTTAAGTGACTTGCCCAGGGTCACCTAGCTAGTAAGTGTCAAGTGTCTGAGGTCGCATTTGAACTCAGGTCCTCATGACTCCAAGGCCAGAGCTCTATCACTGCACCACCTAGCTGCCCCCTAGCTGCCCTTCTTTACATCATACCAAGCTCATGTGATTGGGCAGGAGAGCCAGAGGAAGCTGACCTTGTGTTGGTCCAGGAGACGGTTGACCAGATCACGATCCCCTGCCACAGGTCCCTCCTCTGCCAGCTGGGGCTCAGCCTGGTACAACCAATCCATGAGTGCAGGCAGGGCATCTGCAAAGTGGCCTGAGAAGAGCAGGGCCTCTTCCAGGGCATGCTGTCTGCAGAGAGGGAAGAAGAGGTTAGCACAATGTCTGCCCCGTAGGAGGTACTTCAGACTGACAGGGGCTGGGTGGTACAGGGAAGAGAGGGAGAAGAAAAAGAAGAGAAGTGGTGAGAGACACAGTGTCAGGAAGCACACAGGATTGTATATACCCAGTCTAAGAACTGGCAAGTCTTTGACATACAATTAAAGACCTCGGGGGCATGAGTTGAGTTTTTATTACTGTCTTCAGCCGAAGAAAGACATCTCAGAAAAGGAAGGAAGATTCAAGAAGCTAATAGCTGATTAAGGCCATGGGATCAGAGAACCAGATTTGGATTTCTGGATTTTGGATTTTACTCTCTTTCTTTTTCTGAATGATCCCTAGCAAAGTACCCTGGTGCTCTGACAATATAACCTAAGCAATATTCCCCAAAAATCATTTTTGGTCTCTATGTGTTTGGATTTTGTGATTGTACTTCCTTTATTGATTTTTTTTATTGTATTATTATCTCATTGCTATAGAGTTCAAAAGTTCTGCCTTTCTGAAAACGTTATTTAAATGTAAGAGGGGAAGTGATGGATCTAGGGAGTCAAGGACCAATTTTATGATTTTCCCAATTTGCTGAGATTATGGACATGAGCCTTTGCTTAGAGGCACAGAAGTGTGCCCATGAAGACCTGTGGCCACACACGGTGGCACCCTGTTTAGAGAACAAACACATTCCTGATTGGTTTTCCGTGAATATAGCTGCTCCATGATGACTGGCTAGTTGGGACTAGGAAGGATGGACTCATAATTTTTTCTCTTCAGAGGGGAAATAAATCCATATGTATTCCAGGCTAAAACCGTTGAATCTATCTTTTCTTCCAATATGCTTCATTAAGTTATTCATTTTGCCTGAAGGAAATGCAGTCTTCCTTACTTTACTAATATGACATCTATCTCAACCTTAAGACACAAAAAAATTAAATAATGATAATAATGATAGCTGGGATTTATACGGTGCTTCAAAGTTTCCAATTTCTGTGTTTACACTATTTACTCCATTATTTTTCAATTGCCTTGCCCTATTCCTTGTTTGAGCGTGTCACTCTGGAATCTTTCCCCTCCTGATTCTACCTTCTTTGCTACCTCTTTCCTTTTTCCTCTCATTTAAAAAAATCTATGGTTTCCATAATTTTTCCATCACACCCATTTGTGTTATCCAGTTGCTAATGAAACACTGGAGCGGTTGTTGTGGTTCTGTTTTCTCCCTATGGTGACTACTCAGGGACCTTGACTATTATCATTGATTCTAGTGCCAATCTCAGTTTCCCTGGCGCTATGCTCTCCTGGTACCTCTTACCTATCTGATTGGACTGCTCTTTTTGTCTCCTTTTCAGATTCCTCATTCAGCCTCCCACTTCCTAAACCTGGATGTCCCCCAAGCTCTGTCCTGGACCCTCTTCTTTTTTTCCCCTACACTCTCCTTTCTCCCTTGGTGATCCTATCTTCCATGAATTCATGTATTATTCTCTATGCAGAAGACTTCCAAATCTATGCCTAAACACGCTCCATCTTTTAGTTGCTAGCATTTTCACTGGCTGTCTCCCCAAGCTGTCTACTTCCTCATCTCTGGCTTCCCTAGCTGCTTTCAATCCCCCCTCTGCAAGAAGCCTTTCCCCATGCCCCCAGAGCGCGAGTGCCTTCTGTCTGAGATTACTTCCAATGTATTCATGTTTACGTTGTTTGTACATAGTTGTTTGCCTCTTGCCTTCCCTATTAGGATCTGAGCTGCTTGAGAACAGTTTGTTTTTCCTTTCTTTGTATCTCCAGTGCTTAGCATGGTGCCTGGAACATAGAAGAAGCTAAATAAAGGTTAGTTGACTGACTACTACACAGCCAGCCATAATGTCTCTGTTGAATTCTAGTCCTGTACCAAATGTTTACTCAGTCTCTTGCACGTCTCACCAGTATCTCAAACACATTCCTGTTCCATCTCTCCCCCCAACCCCAACTCTATGCTCCTCAAAACTTCCTTATTTCTACCATTATTCTTATGACCCAGAAGTTGTCTTTGACTCTTCTCTGCCATATCTATCAAACTTTCCTATCCATCCCTTTTTCTCTACAAACACAACCCCACCCCGCCACCCCCACTCAGTTCAGGCCATCATCACCTCTAGCCTGGACTATTAAAATAATCTAATTAAGCCTCTTTGCTTCTACCCTCTCCCTTCTCGAATTCATCCTTGACATTATTACCAAAATATTCTTCCTAGGGAACTAGTCTGACCACATTATTCTTCTATTTTTTTTTCCTGTGGCTCCCTATTGCCTCTAGGATAAAATATAAGTCCTGTCTGCTGTGTGAGGCCTTCTGCAGTATGGCTGGCTTCTACTTCAAAGGCCTTCGAAGCCTTTCTTCACATTATTTCCCCTTCACAGGTACTACATTCCAACCAAACTTGACTACTAGTTCGAATTTGATACTCCACCCTCTCTCTGTACATTTACACAAGCCTTTCCCCAGGCCTGGAATGTACTCCCTCTTCATCTCTACCTCTCAAAATTCTTCTCTTCCCTCAAGGCCTCATTCACTGAAGATTTCCTTGATGCCTCCAGTAGTAAATGTACTTTATATTAGATTTCTTTTGTGTACTCATATCCATTCTCCTGCAGACCTCAATTAGAAGGGAAGCCACTTGAGGGCAGGGAACCTAGATAATCCTTTCTAGGAGTCTGGCAGTGAAAGGAAGGTCAAATATCGACCTTGGAAGCCAATCAAATCTGGGGGAAAGGGTTCTTTTGTTTTGTTTTGGTTTTGTTTTGTTTAGGAATAGGTGTGTTTGTAGGCATTAGGGAGGAGTCAATGAATTGGAAGAAACTAAAGATGGGAAAGAGAAAAGCAGTGATCGCTGGAATAAGCTCTTAGTGAAGAAATAAGGGAATGAATGGAAGGCACAATTAGTGAGGTCAACATTGACAAGGAGAAGGGCCACCTCCTCCTCTGAGACTGGAGCTAAGGAGGAACAGGCAGGCAAAGATTGAGGATATGAGAGGACGGTGCGACAGATGTCCTTGATTTTCTCAATAAGTACTTCTGTTGAGAGATCGGATGGAGGTGGTGCCACGTTATGGTCTTCAGGAGAAAAGATGAGAGGGCTTGAGACAGCCACTATAAGGAACGTGATAGGGTCACTCGAGGAGGAATAAAAGGATTTCTGTGTAGCAATTTTGCCCAACTGAGATTAGATTGCATGAATTTGTAGTTTAGTCCTCCCTGATACTGGCCCATGCAATCAACCACCCCCATCATCAACGATTCCCCCAGTGGTCATAATTATTGTGGAATCTACAGTGGGATGGCAACATCTGTTCCAATTCTCTACTTCATAGTACTGCAGTATCCCAAATCTCCTGACACTGGGCAGGAAGAGAAGAAAAAAAGATCCAAGGCTGTATTCATATTCAGGCTGCATGAATAGAAGCAAGAGGTAGCTCTGCTGATCCCTGTCCTGATCCAGCAGACAACATCTGGACTGCTGTGTCTAGGTTTGGACTCTACAATTTAGGTGAGATAAAATGGTCTAGGTGATGATGATGATGATGAATGATCTGGGTACCAGCCCATTGAGGTTCAGCTGATTTCTGTGTAGCAATTTTGTCCAGCTAAGATTAGATCACATGAATTCATAGTGGACCCAGTTGATATGGTTGCATTACTTCCTATAGCAGCATGGGAGTTCAAAACTAAGAATGTAAGTGGTGAAGGTGATCCAGAATTGGTGGCATGTGAATGACAGAACAAAGGGGCAAGGGAATAGAGGATATTGAATACTTGAATTGGTCAACTAGAGGGTCACCAACAAAACAGAGAGGGACTAGAGGTTATGATGCATATGAAGAGTGGTAGACTCAAGAGGAGCGAGGCCAAGGGAAAAATTGAAGGATTTATGGTTCTGAACAGAGAAGGGAATTTCAGAGCTCATGATCACAGTGGTGGCATAGATAAGAGTGATGGTTATAAATCTAAGGCACCATCTCAGGTGTCCCTGTGGTGGGCTGGAGTGGTGTGAAGATGTAGGTCATGGGACTTGTGGAGGCTGATGAGCTTCCAGGAAGCCAGGGTGTTTAAAGGGACGTTATCAAAATGGGTACAAAAACTCACAATGGATCTGTCATCTTGGAGGGAGGTTCCAGGGATCTGCCCTTGACCCTATTCTGTCTAGCAGTTAATCGATGGTGTGATGTTATGATTTTCAAATTTGCCAAAGACATAAATAAAGGTAGGAGGGAAAGCAGTGTCAGAACCCTAAAAGATGGGCCAGATCTGATAAGGTGAAATGAACTTCTCAGGTATTTCAAGGGCCTGTGATACAATCACAGTGTGGGTTAGGAATGTTGCAGAGGGAATTCTCGCTCAGGAATGGGTTGGACTAGATTGTCCCTGAGGCATCTGCCAAATCTGAGGTTCTGTGATTTTCTTGACTAGTGAAGACTGCTACCCTCTATTCCTTAGAATACAGGCTCCTTAGGTTGTCTTTGAGATACTGCTATGGTCAAAAAATTTATCACCCTGTTATCAATTCAGGGAACAGCATTTCTGAACTTGGGATGGTCCTCAGACAACAGGCATGCAGCTTATCACCAGACCTTTCTAGCTTGATGTAAACTTCTAGGGCCTATGAGCTACTGTCTTTGAGAACTCAAGGTCATTTCCACACCAAGATAAATAATTGAAGAACTTTCATGGAGGAAGAAGAAACTTAGTAGGAATAAATGTAAAGTGTTGTATACCTAGGTTCAGAATATCAACTACAAAGTACAGGATGGGGGAGACATGGGAAGATGATTAGGGAGTCTTAGTGGATTGTAGTCTCTGTCTGAGTCAGCACTGTGATGTATGTGGCTATAGGGAAGACCCAGTGCCACTGCCATGGCTGATTGACTGCTCCAAATGGGCAAAACTAGATTCCATCTGACACTATGGCCTTATCATCAATTACTCCCCATATGGGTATATACTGTGTGTTGAAGGAGGTGTAGTAAGTAGCCAAGGGCCTTGACCAACACCAGTATGTGTGAGCACCTCTCCATGGATCATGGTGCACACCCAGAGATGGGTATCCAAGAGCAGTGTTGTGGTGCCTTCAGCTGTTCCATGCCTCCTAGACTCTTGGCCTCTACCCCAACAGTACCTCATTCTTCTGACTCTCACCAAACAACCTACTTACATAAATTAACACATCCTCCACTCACCCACAACAGCTCAACTCTGCTTTCACCAAAGCATTCATTCACCTTCTCCTCCCTGGTAACTTGACCATGTAATCAACTACACCCATGATCAACTCTTCCCCCTAGTGGTGATAATTACTGGGGGAGGGATTTCCCCTCTACCATGGGATGGCAACATCTGTTCTAATTCTCTACTTCCTTGTGCCGATCTCCTGACACTGGGCAGGCAGAGAAGAAAAAAGATCTAAGGCTGCATTCATAATCAAGCCGCATGAATAGAAGCGAGGGTTAGCCCTGCTGATTGGCCAGACAACATCTGGAGTGCTATGTCCACACCAGGACTCCCCGATTTAGGAGAGGCAAATCGGTCCAGAGAAGGGTGACTGGGATGACGAATGGTCTGGAGGCCAGCCCACTGAGAATCAGCTGAAGGAAATGGGGATGTTTGACCCGGAGAAGAGCAGTCTTCAAGAATCGGAAGGGCTAGCACGTGGAAGAGGGACCAAGACAGACATGTTCTTCTTGGCCCCAGGCAGCAGAATTCAGGGTAAAGGGTAGAAAATGCAGAGATTTAGGGGTCGTGTGTGGAAAGTCTCTGACAATGAGAGCTGCGCCTAAGTGGAATCAGCTGCTTTGGATGGCAGGGGGTTGTCCATCCAGGCAGTCTTCAAACAGAGGTTGGATGACCATGTGTTAGAGACACTGTAGAAAGGGGCTGCTGCTTAGGGAGAGACTGGACCAAATCCTCTCTGGGCTCCCTTCCAACTCTGAGATTCTATGAGCAGAAAGAGAAGTGGGCAGGGGAGGGCATGGTGGATGCTGTAATGGGATAAGGGGCTGAGGTGGGCACTGCCCAGGGAAAGGGATACATACACATAGACTGAGGGAATAGAGAGAAGGCTAGGAGGTATGGAAGGGGGCACTGACCTGTCCAGAGCAAGGCTGCAGATACCCTCCCAACGGCCCCGGAGCTCAGCCAGCAGCAGGTCAAGGGGTGCAGCATCATCAGGAACAGGGCTCCTTCTCGGAGTGCCCTGCCCCCCCGCAGCGTGGCCTCAAACACTGGCCGCTTGCCCCGAAGCTCTCGCTGGAATTCCTGCAGTGGAGACAGCTATTGGTATTACTAGCCTTCTCCCTCTCTTCCCCCTTCCCCCCCAATACTTCAAATCAAAGGCCCCACTTTCTCCCTGCCAGTGCTGAGTTCTCTCTCACAGGAGCTCCTGTAGCCCTTGAAGGAGCACCTGTGTCCCTGGGTCACTGAAGGAAAGAAGCCAAGCTCCTGGGGGAGCTGGAGGTTGAGAGATGGCTGAGGGATTCTGTGTCTCCTTACCAGCCCGGGGTGGGCTGCCCATGAGACAATTTGTCCCTGAACATCAATAGAAGGAGCTATTTGGCCCTCTCTTTCCTTAGCTAAGCACAGCTGGGCACAAAGAGCTGAGTCAAACTGAATGACTAAGGACTATGAATGGTTAAGGACATGACAGGGATATTCCTAAAGGTCATGACAGTAGGTACGTTATAAATACTTTTTCATTCATTTCATTCATCCATCCATTCAGAATCCAGGAGGACAGGAGCCCAAAGTTTTCAGGAGGATATAGCCAAAGCAGCCAGAAACCTGAAAAAGGCCTCATAGCGTCTCATTTTCCCCACCAGACTGTGATCTCCCTGAGGGCAGGGAACGAGCCTCTACTTCCTGTCTTGCTCACAGAGCATCCAGGGCCAGGACTGCATATGTCAGGGTGAGGAGAACAGGGAAGAAATTGTGATTGAAAGACTGGCCCCGTTGAACCAATGGCACAGACCCACAGCAAATCCTTAACATCTGTGTTCAGGATAACTTGTTGCCTTTTGTTTCTGTCCCATGGAGTGTGTGTGTGTGTGTGTTGTGTGATTAATACGTGCTTGGTTTTTCTGACACACTCCGATTTTTAGAATAGGCCCCAGTGAAGGCAGTGTGGCTGATGTTCATGGGGCTGTTGATGAAGACATTTACAAAGAGGAGGGTGGTGACACTCACAGAAACAATGATGCTGACAGTCATGAAGATGATTGTAATCACAAAGATAGAGGTGACAATCCCAAAGACAATGATGGTGACCAGGATGATGGATATAATGGTTAGTATTAATATGGTGAGGTGACAGTGATGGTGACAGGTAGGACATAATGATCACAAATAGGTGATGGTGACAGTCATGAAGATGATAGTGACAAGAATGATGGGGATGACGATGTGACCATTCCAGAGATGTTGGTGATGAGTCATGAAGATAATGATGGTAACAGTGACAAAGATGATGGGGACAATCATAGGGATGATGACAGGAATGGTCATATACCTTAGATATCTTTAGTCCAGATCTGTGATGTCATCTACAGAGGGAACTTATGGTGAGGGAACTCCCTCAACCAATGAATATATGCAATTGTTACGTGGTTACCCGGGCTACTTGGAGATTAAGTGACTTGCCCAAGGTCACACTGTGAATATGTGGGACTCAAATCCAGGTCTCCCTGATGCCAAGGCTGTCTATCCACTATTTTGTAATTGCGTTTCCTGTCTTGTTTATCGTAAGTACATGCTAAAGAAATGTTGGCTGAATAAACTGATCTGAACCGAAATGAATGGAGACACAGCGATGATGTTCACCGTGGTCTGATGCAGGGATAGGGGCAGGCCCAAGGGACGTCCTGTCCCAATCACCACCAGTTCCTCAGAGAGGCGTCTGGAAAAGCGCCTAGCTAGGTCAAGAGTAGGCCAGAGAAGAGGAAGCAACACAGGTATGCAGTCAGACCAAGTAATGATTAAAGAGGATAACTTATTAGCAACCATAGGGACAGTCCACCGTCCATAATGCCCCTGCCCAGAGAGAAAGCAGCAATAGGTGCTGACCCCTCCCTTCTCTTCTTTCCCCCATGCAGATGTCTACAGTACAGTCTGGAATGGGGCCTTCAGCAGCAGGAAGGAGGGAGGAAGGAAGGAAGGAGTGGTAAGTCAGGAGAGCTGGAGGGGGGGCCCTTGGAAGGGGGGGGTAGAAGCCCAGGAAATGTGGAAGCAGGTGGTATCTCGGGCCTGGCTTCTGGCCTGGAGCTGAGGGGAAAGAGTCAAGGATGGTCAGGGCTCCTCAGCAACTATCCAACTCATCTCCCTAAGCTTGGGAAGAAACTGGGACTTTGGGGGCAGATATTCTGCCTGTCCATAAAGGTCATGGATTTGGGGTTAAGTGACAGAAGGAAGCCCTAAGCTCTGGCTTCTCTCCTACCTTATGTTGACTCAGCTGTTCTTTGATCTCCTCTTGGCTCAGGGCCACATCTCCAGGCAGCATCAGTGTGGGCTCCACTTCATCCAGCCAGTCAAGGAGTAGCTGGCGGGACTCTGTAAACTGGGGCAAGAAGATGGGTCCAGGGAAAGGAATAGGGGGAAGGGAACGGGAGAAAGTCCAAGTTTAGAGAAGGGGAAGAAAAGGAAGAACTGAAAACGGGAAGGGGAAGGGGCCAGACCAGGCAGGCCTTCCCTTCCTCCCTAAGTCTATCCCTCTGCACCCTTCTCTGTACACTCTTCCTCACCTCTTCCCCTGCTCCCCCAAAGTGGTACCTGCTTAGCCCTTCTTCGAGCCTCTTCCAGGGCTGTGCCACGATCACCTATCCTTTGAATAGCTCGGCCTAGACGTTCCTGGGTGCTGAGCACCAGGCTCTGGATAAGAGCACAGTCTTGCTCTGGGCTAAAGCCCCTCAGCCTTCCAGCCACCACCTCCAGGGCACCCAGTTTCTCCCCTTGCACTGCCACTTCCTGGGCCAGCACCTGTGAGAGCCAAGGGTTATTTTGTGCCCTGCCTCATGGACCAACATACATAGAACTGGGAAGGAGAGAGGACTGGATAAGTCCAGGACCCCAGGCTCTGCCTGCCTATCCCACCTGCCCCTACCAGTCTCAACCCACAGACCTTGTGCTCCTGCAGCTGGGCCAGGACTGTGTCCAAAACAAGGCTGGGGGGTGGCAGGGACCCAAGGTGCTCCTCTACTCGTGCCCCCCAGCGCAAGAGTGCCTGCAGTCGCTGGTGAAACTCCGTGGTGAGTGCCAGGCCTTCAGAGAGCCACACCTGCGTGGGGGAGTCCCATCAGCCTCCAGCTCTGCCTTCAATCCCTGCTGATCTCCCCTTGATCCACCCTGTCCCCACCTAGGTCCCCTTTACCAACCTTTCCCTTTACTCTGACCCCATCCCCTGTTCCTACACAGACCTTCCGTTCCTGGGCCCGAGCGGCCACACGCTCCCAAGTCTGCTCCAGCAGCCGCAGGCTGTGTTCAGTGCCCACAGGTCGAGGAGGAGGCCGGGGTCCTGACAACGGTTGGGGCGGGAGCAGCCTGCCTAGGCGCTGTCTCAGACCCTCATATTCCGGCTGCTTCTGTTCTAGCTCCCGGCACAGCTCCTGATATGTGTGATGGTGTAAGGAAAGGGTTATCTTTGGGGAAATTTGGAGATAGCCTGAGTTAGGATGGATTACAATGGTCGGGGGATAAGAAGCAGGTGACAGTGTTAAGTCATTGTAAGTCCCTTCTCTCTGAGCTCCAGTTTCCTCATCTGTATAAAGGAGGGTCTTGGACTAAACCATTTCTACAGTCCCTTCAAGCTCAACCACCTCAGGAAATATTCTGTGAACATTGTGATGAGATTTATTCTCTACCTTATTGGAAATTAGGGTCAATAAAGGGCAACTATCTGTATCTTTGGGGGGGAGGGACATTCATACCACCCTAAGTCTACTGAAGTCTTAAAGTCAATTGCTCTATTGACTTTTCCTTATTTTCAATGGACTAGGGAGAGATCCCAGTTAGCTCAAAGATTGCTCACTAATGGATTGAAGAGCCACCAGCCACCAGCAGGCTTCCTGATGGGCTGAGAATGACCCTAGAATTATAGAATGGACAAATGCATTCTAGCTTGTGGGCCCATGTGGACAAATTCTTCCAATGAACTTTAGGGTGCTCTCTGAACAGATAAAACCAGCTAGAACCCAGCTTGGACTAAGAGAACCATGGATTCGTCCAAAACTTAGGCAGTTTAAATGCTCACTAGTGTGATCAGGGTTTTTTGTTTGTTTGTTTGTTTTTGTTTTAAAATCCACATAACTAATGATTTTCTTTAGGTATATTATTTCTGGGATAGATTGCACCTGTGGTATCCATTGATAAAGGGACTCCCAGATGACAAATGTCCTTTTGCTAAAGGTGATCAGCACCCCTCTATAATGTAGTCTTAGAGAATTGCCCAGAGAACTTTGAGGTTAAGTGACTTGTCCAGGGTCACACAGCTGATATGTGTCTGAGACCCAGCCTGAACCCAGATTTTCTTGGCTCTAAGGCCACACTGCTTCCTATTACTCCTGAATCTGTTTGTTTTGTTCTCCCATTTAGCCACCAAACATTTATTAAGCACCTGCCTTCGTGCCAGGCCCAATGCTAAATGCTGAGGACTTAAAGACAAAAAAAAAATAGTCCTTGCCCTCAGGAAGCTTACATTCTATCAAACATAGATATTTTCTTGTAAATAAATCTTAGCAAACACACCCTTGAGGTCTGGAGTGCCCAGACACAAATAGAGAAATACTATTACCACTCTTCCAACTAATAATAATTGACATTTATGTAACATTTAAAGTTTGCAAAACATTTTACACACAGTATCTCAACTGAGTCTCATGCCAACCCCAGGAGGCACATGCTTTTGTCCTGTTGGCAAGTATATTGTCCCCATTTTACAGCTGGAGAAACTGATGCTCAGAGAGGTTGCCCCAAGGCATCCCACTAGTAAGGGAGTAGGTGTGTGAATCAGATCCATTTAGAGTTAATGAGACCCAAGAAAGGAGAAAGTAATTAGGGACTGGGTGTGGCAGGTCTCTGAGCCCAGAGAAGCAAGCAGGCTGGAAATCTGGAAGGTTCTGAGAGGCATAGAAGAGTCAAAAACAGTGGTTCCCTGGATCCACTCTAAGGTGGAACTGGGCACCTGGAGACTGACCTGGTTCAGGGTGGTTAGAAGCCCAGGGAGTATCTCTTATGGGAGGGCAGGGAAGGGGGAGTCATTTTTAGGCTAGGCAGCCCCCAATCCTACCAGGTGCCGAGCCAGTCTCTCCTGGGGCGGGTCCGGGGGTCCCCAGGATGGTTTGATGAGAACAAGTCCCAAGTCCACCTGCTCCAGCCACTGAAGCAATTCTGCCATCCCTAGCTCGACATCCTGCAACTGGGGGAGAGGGAACTGAGTCAGTCAGGCAGGCAGGCACATGCGGAAGCCTTTACCCAGCCCCCTTTTTCCAAGGTACCCCCAGTGGTCACTGCGGGTTGAGTCACTGAGAACGGAAGGAAGAGCAGGGTCATGATGGGCATAAGGGAAGGGGAGGAGGGACCAGTGCGAGAGGACAGTGTGAGAGGGTTTCAGGGTGGGGGGGTGGGAGCAGGAAAAGGGCTGGGGCTGAGATCAGGGCAGAGGGAAAAGGGTGAGAATCAGAACTGTAGCATATTCAGGCTAGAAGGGCCTTGGACTTCATTTTGCCCACCCCACCCCCACTTCTCCTGTCAAAGTGGCATCCCAGGAGGCAGAGCTGAGGGCAGGCTCTTTCCATCATTCCATGCTACTCCGGCCCTAGGGGCCATGGGTATTGGAAGTGGGCTCAGGACCCTGACTGACCTGGGCCCGGCTGTTCTCCAGCTGTAGCTGCCGGCTCCGACTCTCTCCTTGAACGGCCTCCCAGCGCTGGTCCAGGGTTTGAAGGGCAGCCCGGAGTCCTGCCTCAGCCTCCCCGAGCCCTGCCTGGAGCAGCCCTTGAGCTGCCTCACTCACTGACTGAACCGTCTGCGCCCTGGACAGCACATCATTCTGCAGCACCTGGGGTGAGGCACCAGGATTGCCCAGGGGTCCCAGGCTAGACCAGCCCAAACGGATTTCACCTTCAACCTCTCCCTAGCCCATTCTCTCTGGCAACTGATTTCTGCCAGGGGAGCCCCCAAGATGCTCTGCTCCTCAGTTCTGGGCTTCTGGTGGTCTCTTACCTGGAGCTTGGCCAGCTCAATCTCACAGCTGGGCAGATCCAGGCTGACCACAGCTGGTGCTCCCTGAAGCTGCTCGGCCGTGTGGCCTAACCACTGTACCAACTCTTCCAGCTGTGGCTGCAGCTGCCCCAGGCCCAGCAGCGCAGCTTCTAATTGTTGCTGTGAGAAGGAAGGTAAGGATGAAAAAAATGACAGGAGCCCCAGTCCTTCAAGGGTCTCCTTCCTAGGACAAGTTCCTTTACCCATACTTAGAGGTTACCTAGCCCCCAGTCACCCCCCAATCTCCCCAGAGCTCAGGAACACAGCCGAGAACTTCAGGATCCTTCATCCTTCTTATCTCTTGTTACCTGGCCCTCAAAGTAAGGATGAGCGTGGTCCTATGCTTTCTGACCTGTTGTCTCTTGTGGACAAATTGGGCACAGAATGTTGTGGTCTACTCTTATTCCATTTATATTCCTAAAACAACATTACCCAGGCTTCTGTCCTCACAGGCTCTCACCCTTTGGGTCAGGACCCATTTCCACTCCTTGGGGCTCCCTATGTGCTGCCTTCTCTCAACTCCGGCTTCAGGCTCACCCCACCCCTAACATTGCAGTGAACCTACTCACTCTTAAAGTATCACACCCCGTGGATCCTGGCCACTGATCTTTGGTTCCAAGCTGTTCTAGATAATTCCAGCCTCTTCCCCCCACCCTCTAGGTTCATTGTGTTTGGGTCCCAGTGCTGGTCTGTCTCTTGCTGTCCCTCTTTGTCCCTTTTTCTTTCCTCTCTGATTTCTGAAGTTCTACTCCTCCCCTCCACTGACTCTTTTTCTCCCTGCCCATTCTGTACTAAGGAGCATAAGGTTGTCTCTATCTGCACCAGGCCTGCCTGGGGGTACATGTGCACATCCATGCTGTTTTAAAGGCCCATTCAGGAACATAGATATCTCTGGAGGGAGTAGGAGCATAGGGACTGAGGCTGGGGCATACAGCTGAGGAGCGCAGGTGTGAGGAGGGGTGCTAAGGGATTTTGAACTGTTGCAACCTGCCGACTCCCGGTTTCTTGCTCCAAGTGGTCCCAGCGTAGCCGGAAGTCCCCCAGTAGAGGTGGAGGACTGGGGTCTTCTGGACCCCCTGGGGCAGGACGGTGCCTCAAACTTTCCACCTCTACCCTGCTCTGATAGAGCTCCCGCTTGAAATCCTGGAGGAGAGAGGTCAGAACTCAGGCCTCAGTTGTTTTGCACGCCACCTCTGATCTTACCCACAGTCCATCCCAGCCTCCATCCCCAGCCCCTGCGAGGTTCTCTCTCTACTGATGGCCCTCAGGACTTCCTTTCAGCTCCTGCAGGCCCCCAGCTCCTCTCAGCCCAGCACTAAGAGCCTCTTATACACCCCCAGGGGCCAGTTCCTGCCTCTCCAGACCCTTAGCCCCTTCCCTCCTCCACCTTTAGCTCCTCCAGCTGCTGCTTTGCCAGCTCCAAGGTACCCCCCACGCGGAAGTCTTGACCCAGCCGTAACTCAGCTCCTTCCAGCCAAGCCAGGAGCCTCTGGGGAAGGGAAAAGAGGGGATCACACTAAGCCTGAAAACCTCCTTCCGGCAGACTTCATAGTCTCCTCTTGGAACCCTCCTCCTCACCTCCCAGGAAACCCACAGCAGACTCCCTTCACCCAAGGACCAGGCCTCACCCAGGTGTGGGACAGGGAGGACAAGAAAGAGATGGTAATAGGAAGCTACAGGGGAATGGGAAGGTTGGGGAGGGTAAGTAGAGAAGAGAGGAGGAGAATGAGGGGAGGGGGCCTCGCCTGCATGGCCTCCTGGTAGCTGAGAGCATCCTGAAGCTGCTCCTCAAGATGCCGGTGACGCTCAGTCCACACACGACTCAGGCTGTGCCAGGAAGCATAGAGCTGGGGGCAGAGGAAGGAAAGGAGGTGCTATGAGGTCCCATGATCCCTCTGCCAAACCATAAGGATCTCTTCCCCTGAGGAATGAAAGAGCAGATGCTGGGTATCTATGGAAGTGGGTAGGAAGGCTGGCAGACTTAGCAGGACCCCCAGCTTAGCCTGGCCTAGAGTGGAAGTCTTGTCCTGAGGAGGCTTTAGAGCAGCCAGGCCTGCCTGGACAGGCCCATGGGGTGAGGTCCCAGGGTTCCTGGAGCTGAGGGTGGGCAGAACCTGATGTGCCAAGCTGACCCCACCCAAGACCAGTTATAAAACTTTCCGTGATGTTGGCCTTGTTCTCATGTTTACTGGGTGATCTGGATTAGAGACTGAATAAGATACAGTCTACAGAAAACACACATATGCTTTGGGGGAGAGGGCTGAAAGAAGGCTTTCTTTTCTTAAACATTTCTAAGGGAGTTTATTAGAGTTGGAAGGGACTTTGGAGACCAACTAATCCAACTCTGCTTTTATAGAGGAGGAAACTGAGGCCTTAGAGAAGGAAAGAGACTTGCTCTAGGTCCCAGAGGAAGGCTCATGGAGACTGAGCCGAGGTAGAATCAAAGGGAACCCAAATCCCACTGGCTCATAGGGTCAGACCTTAGAGGCCACCTTGGACAGAGACCCAGAGTTAGCACCAGAGCAGCGACACCTGCCTCCACTTCTCCTGACCCTCTTACAAGCTTGAAATGTGGCCTCCCTGGACAGAATGGGGAAACCAGCCCCTCCAGAGTAGCAGCTCTTGGTCTTATGACTCAGGGGTAAACATAGACATGAGGATGGGAGGATGCGGGGGTGGGGTAGGGGTGGGGGGGACTTCAATCCTTCCAGGTGTGCCCTGGCCACAGGCTCACCACGTTCCACACGGGAAAGTCTAAGGAGTTTGGGAGGACAAAACTTTGAGGGAAAGAATAGTGCCAGGGATGAGGGTGGGGAAAGGGCAGAGGCATTCCATGGCCCTCCAGCAGAGGCTAGTATTCTCTCCCACTTCTTTCAGGGCAGACCTGGAAGGTGGCAGAGAATTCTTAGGACTGATAGAAAAGCAATGCCACCTCTCGCCTCTCACCTCTCAGAAGGAAGGAGAGGAAGGTTCAAGGAGCGGGCCCCCTTCCCTGACTTGGCCCCTTCTCTATGCAGGATGATAGGGGATGGGGGGAGGGGAGCCCTTCAGAGCCTTCCTCAGGACCCTGGGCTACTAAACTGCTGCGAGGCAAATCCTGAAGAGCCATCTGTTTGCTCCTCGGCTCAGGCCTGACCTTCCTCCTGACCCCTAAAACAGGGAGAGCTGGGATCTATCAACCCTGGTCTGTTCTAGAGTAACCCCACTTCTATCTTCTCTACCAAGAAGCCTGATCTTTGGACTTGGAAGCACAGGAAAAAAAAAACAACAACCGAAAACCAAAACCAAAACGTAGTTAATAGTAGAGGCAGCTGTAGTGCAGTGGAATCTGTAGTGGAATCCACTGATTCCATAGTGATAAGGGCTTGGTTCATGTCTCTCCTCTGATGTGACCTTGGACAATTCTCTTAACCTTACTAGGCCTCAATTTTCCTCAAGAGGAGGATATTGGAATAGATTGCCTTTGAGGTCCCTTCCAACTCTATAACCCAACAATCCTGTGAATTAACCAGAAGACAGTTCAATCTTTGCCTTGCAAAAACACAAGAGGCCAATGTCAATGAAAATAATTCTGAGGTTTCACCTCTTTCAATGCACATAGGCAAAAAGGAAAAAAGATAAGAGTAGTCAATACTGCAGGGGACTGTGGGAAGACTCAGAGGAAGATGCATAGATAGCTTGTTGGGGCTGTGATGTAGTCCAAAGGTTCCAGATTCTGGTTTGGAATCACACCAAAAAGGTGACTAAATTGTCCATCCACTTTGACTAAGTAATCTCATTGCTAAACATGTGCTTCCCCCAAGGAAGTCAAAGCCAGAAACAAAGGTCCTTTATGTACCAAACTATTCATAGCAACACTTCTTGTGGCAGAAAAGAACTTGAAATAAAGTGCGTGTCTATCAATTGGGGAATGGTTAAAAAATTAAGATATATAAAGGAAATAGAATATTATTGTGCTTGTAAAAAAAAGGATAAACACCAGGAATTTGGAGAAATGTAAGAAGATTTGTGTGCACTGATGTAGAGCAAAATAAATACAACCTAGAAAGTGATATACACAATACTTACAACAATGTAAACTTTAAAAATCACTAAAAGGAAGTTGAACTCTGAGCAGTAGAGAAACCAATGAAGGTTCTAGAGAAGACATAAGGAAAATATGTCCCTTCCTTCATGTGGTTAAGGGGTAGAGGGTGGAACAACTACCAGGAGAGTATATTTTGTATTCTGTTCAATGTTTTGTGTTGACTATTTTGCTTCAATATTTTTCTGGGGTTGGGGAGTGGAGAGTTGATCAAAGAGAAGGAGGAAATGACTGGGATGATTCTTTTTTTTTCTTTTTTTCTTTTTGCTAGGTAATTGGGGTTAAGTGACTTGCCCAGGGTCACACAGCTAGTATGTGTTGTGTGTTGTGTGTCTGAGACTGAATTTGAACTCAGGTCCTCCTGACTGGAGTGAATAGAGCTCCGGCTAGCTGTCCCTACTGTGATGATTCTTTAAACATTTTGAAAAATAAGAGGTAGTCAGTGGCTGACCAGAAGAGAAGAGAAAAGAGGCTAAAAAATAGCTAGAGGACTGGATTCTTTGGAGAAGACTTTCTTATTGGTAACTGTATTAGAGATGAGCAGAAATCTGCTCCTGTCAAGAGCACAAGAAGCTTCAGAGAGAAAAGTCAAAGAGGGACCAGCCTCCTGCCAACATGGACCACAGAAAACTGAGGCTCTCAGTTTCAGGAGGAACGGAGGGTGAGGGTAAGCTTCCAGGGAACTACAAAGATGGTGCTGTGTTTGTAGGTCTTCTGGAGGCAATCAACTCCTAAATTTGTACAAAATGTTGGTTAGAGAAAGTGTAATGAAAGAGAGCTCTTTGTTACTTTCTGGAAGGCCTATGTCTATGTTTATGTGTGATATATACCTATAGATATTTATACACATATGCACATACACTCTATATAGACAACTATATATGTATACATATTTCTTTGCATATATATAGTTGTCTCATATATGCACACATACACACACACACACACACACACACACACACAATATATATATATATATATATATATATATATATATGTATATATATACAGAGAGAGAGAGAGAGAATTGTCTCATAGCATCATAGGTTTAGAGCTAAAAGGGACCTTAGAGGCAACAGAATCCAACCCTTTCATTTTATAGATGACTCAAAAGAAGCCAAGTGACTTGTCCAGGGTCACACAGCAAGAAAGTATGTGGGTTTTGAACCCAGGTCTTCCTAACTCCCAAGTCTAGCATCCTTTCCACTATGCCAAAATGACTACATGTAATCTCCTTATAAGTAGGGGTTGTTCTAGTCATATTTGTATTCTTTTCTTTTTTTTTTTGTGAGGCTATTGGGGTTAAGTGACTTGTCCAGAGTCACAAAGTTAGTGAGTGTTATGTGTCTGAGGCCAGATTTGAACTCAGGTCCTCCTAACTCCAGGGCCTGTGCTCTATCTACTGAACCACCTAGCTGCTCCAGTAATTTGTATTCTTAATATACTTAATAAATAGTTATTGGTTGACTGCTTTGGTTGTATTGTCTATGTTATTCTATAATGTATAATAATAATAAATACATTTAATGAATGATTTGGTTGTAACATTTACTCTACAACCTGGGTCTCGTGAGGCTCAGAAGCAGGAGAAGGACATGGCCTTTACTTAGATAGAAGGTAAGGGGAAAGGTGTGGTTGGAAGGAAGGAGACAAGTGTTTACGAAGCTCCTAATGGGTGCCAAACACTATTTTAAGCACTTTACAAATATTATCACATTTGATCCTCACAACAACCCTGGGAGGTGACTATTATTATCATTCCCATTTTACAGTTGAGGAAACTGAGGCAGAGGTTAAGTGATTTGCCCAGGGTCATACAGCAGCTAGTAAGTATCTGAGATAGATTTGAGCTCAGGTCTTCCTGACTCTGGGCTCAATGCTGTGTCTCTAGCTGGCTCTGTTGGAACACAAAACTTTCTAATTGGCTGGGCATGAACCCAAGATTGCCACTCCAGAATTCCTGAATGGGATTCTGGGAAAATAAAAAGGATATAGGTAAGAACAAGACTCTGGGCTTTTAGGAGGAATCATGTGGGCCAATTTGGCCTAGGGGAGATATTAACTAGCTAGGGTGTTTTAGGAAGCTAATGAGCGGCCCAGTCTGCCTTATGGGAGAATCATTACCTAATGCTTACCACAGATATAAGCCATGCATGACCCAGGCTTCCCCAAGCTCTGGGCTCACAAAGACTAGGTCCAATATCACGAGTTGACCCAAAAGATGGGTCTCTTTCTCTTTTGGTTCATTATTACTCCCTGACCCCACCCCTGTCCTCTTTCTGTCATGGTTCTCATAGAACAACTGACTCTAAAAAAAAAAAGTTTCACTACAAAGTCAATATCAAAAAACTTTAAATAATTTCTTTTATGTTAAAAGTCTCAGGAAATTTAACTCCAAGACCTTTTCATTTCCCCATCTCTCTGGAATTTAGAGATGGCAAGAACATGATGAGGGGTGGAGGGAATACTGACCTCCTGTAGCTTGCAAAGGGCTCATGTTCAGGCAAATAAATACTTGGAGAGGAAAAGACCCTGGTGGCCTGGGGTATGTAACAGAGGATCAAAGAGGAAATGGGTCGGAGAGGGAGGGAGGGGCTGGAGCCAAGGGCCCCTAGACAAGAAAAAAAGAGATTTGGGTGAGTTAAGGCTATGGTCATCATAGGACAGAATATGGAAGCTCCCCATGCTCACGTACACGGAGCCAGCAATTCCCATATAGAGAGCACAGTCTGAAGTAAGCCCTGGGGCCCAAGAAAAGAAGTT